TAGGTGCAGGAACTCCCAACAATTTTTGTAGAATTTGCTGAAGATAACATAAAAGCAGTAAAATAGATTTCCTGCTGCCATCAACAGAAGCATCCCCAAGCACAATATCCCCCCCAGCACCCTTTGCCATTACATGGATTCAGTGCTGGAGATGCCGGAGCTGAGTTCCCCCTTGTTCCTGCTGAAAAAAGCCCTGGGAAGATGTTTACACTGCACACTTCAACACTGTGTGAAATTGTTAGCTATCTGGTTTGTTTCTTTAGTATGTTTTTACCTAGCATATAGCTAACCTTAAAAAGCATAGGCCCAAAATATTTAAAGTTAAAATCAGACGGGATTCTCTTTCGTCCTTGCGTTTTCTACAGAATCTGTTATAGATCTAAAGCAAACTCATGTTTACATTTCATTCTATTTAAACTGCTCTTGACACCTGCAACCCCCCCCCCCCCCTTCCGATATGGCGCCTGGGACATGCTTGCCCCCACATTTAATTCCACTCGCCAAATGCAAGCAGGCGAGTGGAAATTTTGAGGCCTGATTTAAAGGATGCAATAAAGTGGAAATTCATTATAATTGGGCACCACAAACTGAAAATGCTAGAGAGAGAACAGAGAGGGTTAGCACAAGATAGAGTATTGAATGATGAGTTTTCATGAGGTTGGAGAGAGATGTCGTCCCATGAGGGGGGGAGAGAGGGATTGATCAAACTGGTGGCAGAGACTGGACTGCAGGAAGATTACTGCTTGGGGGGAAAATTTTTGTGTAGAGGATGAGGGAGGGATGTAGCTTTGGAGTGTGTGTGTGCTGGGGAAACAGGGTGATAACTATGATAAACATGACTGCTGCTGGAAGGGAAATCTATATATTGCTCCTAGTAGGGGAACAGATACTATGCAATAGAATTAAAATATGAATATACAGTTAGGTCCATATATATTTGGAGAATGGCACAATTTTTAGGTTTTTTTTTTTCTTTCAGATATTTACCAAAATCTATTCAAGCAATAGTTCTATAATGGATGTGGGCTGAAAGTGCACACTCTCAGGTTTAATTTGAGAGTATGTACATCCAAATTGGAGGAAGGGTTTAGGAATTGCAGCTCTTTTAGAGTAGTCACCCCCCCCCCCCCTTTTTTTTCAAGGGACCAAAAGTAATTGGATAATTGAATCAAAAGCTGTTTTATGGCCAGGTGTGGGCTACTCCTTCATTATTTCTTCAATTAAGCAGGTAGAAGGTCTGGAGCTGATTCTAAGTGTGGTATTTGCATTTGGAATTTTATTGCTGTGAACCTACATCATGCGTTCAAAGGAGCTGTCCATGCAAGTGAAACAGGCCATTGTAAGGCTTCAGAAACAAAACAAATCCATCAGAGAGATGGCAGTAACATTAGGAGTGGCCAAATCAACAGTTTGGTACATTCTGAGGAAAGAAGAAGAACACACTGGTGAGCTCAGCAACATAAAAAGGCATGGACATCCATGGAAGACAACAGTGGTGGATGATCACAGGATCCTCTCTATGGTAAAGAAAAACCCAACATCCAAACGAGTGAAGGACACTCCAGGAGGTGGGCGTATCATTGCCAAAGTCTATAGTTAAGAGAAGACTTAAAGAACAGAGGTCATATATACAAAAACACACATTCTAGAATGACAAGACCGAGACACACCACTTTATTAGTTACACCTTCCTAGGCTTGGACCCCCTTAATTCTTCATGGCATAGATGCAACAAGGTGTTGGAAACATTCCTCAGATTTTGGTCCAGATTGACATGATAGGATTATGCAGTTGCTGCAGATTTGTCGGCTGCACATTCATAGCTAGGAAGGTGTAACTAATAAAATGGTGTGTGTCTGTCTGTCTTGTCATTCGTGTGTGTGTATGACCTCTGTTCTTAAAGGTATTAAGGGGTTTAGAGAGAAGTAGGGGAGTAAGGTCTGGGCAGGCAGGGTGTCTCCAATACTAATAAAGGTTATAAACAGGCTGTGTTTAACTTGTTGGCACTTATGGTTCTGTGCCTTTGTCATGAATGTGAGTTAGGGACCTTAGATTGTACGCCCCTTGAGGGTTAGGGACTGATGTGAATGTACAATATATATATGTAAAGCACAACATAAATGGACGGTGCTATATAAGTACCTGTAATAAATAAAAATTTTCACTTCCCTCATATACTAAAAACCATACTATACATAAACCATATTCGTTATCACATATTCACAATCGTACAATTGATTTATACAAAGTGCTTAGAATAGTGCACTCCTTTTAAAAAGTGCTTAAACCAGTTCAGTATTTCATGTTCAGTGCTGCCACTGTAAATTGCCATTTTTCAACTTCTGTGATACTCTTGGACCCCACTCACCGAAGCTCCAGGACTCCTTCGTAAACAGTGGGTCTATAGCACTTTATTAACATTGCTCTCCTCCAAATATATGTGCTCCACCCAATGTTGTATACTTTTCTACTCTTCACACCTCCACTCCACCGAAGAAATCTGCACAAGGAACCAGAGAGCAATCGCCTATAGCATTATGCTGTTTATTAAAATTCACACCTAAAATAAAATTACACTTACAAAAGTATTTAGGTTTGCATGCAAGGCAAGTGCAAGCAATAGCGCTTTGGTTAGTATGTCCAGGATGCTCCTGCGTTCTATGGACTAGACGTGAGGTACCAGACGTGACATAATGACCCAAGGAAGGCTCCTCCCTACACGCTTCAGAAGTGTGACATCATCAGGAGCGGCCTAAAGTTCATGTGTGTGCACAAGTAAATGGTTTTTACAGTATATTAGAATTCCTACATCCTTTTCTCAAGTCTAGGTCTGGCCTGATGGAAAATAGTAGATTCCATAAAGTTACCTGAGCTTTTCACATCAATTCTTAAAGTGGGCCATGCACTAAACTAACATAGCAAGGTCCTCTGAGAGGTGAGGGGTTAAAACTGTTGTCAGTTCTTTGTGTCCCCACTGGGAATCCCTCTCTACCCAATATGTGGTAAAAAAGAGGTTTAGTGTTAGATATATTTTAGTCACTTGCCATCCACGTAATGCATATGTGTGACAGCATGGAGAGTGGGTCCTGACACCCACAAGCTGGACATGTGTTCATGGCAGCCTATGTTCTATGCTAAGAGTGCATTCCCAGCACAGTAACCGAGCTGCTGTATAGCTGCCAGCCTTTAGTTATGATCAGGAGTTGGTGGGACAGGCTCCTGATCAAGTGTCCACTGTGACAGCCAATCATAGTGATCACATGATCGAGGAAATCCGTTCGGCTCCCCCACCCTCCTTTTCCCAGCTTTAAGACCCAGTTAAAGGATTTCAATGAGTGGGCAGGAAGGAGTTAACTGAAATAAAAACCCCTGCGCTAAAGTTAGATATATTTGTTTTTCCCTTGGCTTCTGCATGCAACGCCATCCAGGAGAATGTTAAGCAGCACAAAACCCACGAGAAGATAATTGTACACTGTGCCGCAGTGAGATTTGAGCATCTCGCCATTCCATGGGATGTCCTCAGCAGGTACCACAAGGCCAGAAATGCTAGGGGGTAATTTTCAAAGTGGTTTCTCAGCAAAACATCAAGACGTGGATGGGGGAGTTTGCGTTATTAAAAAATAATTTGCGGTTTTGATTGGTTTTGGTGCTCAGTTGCAGTATAGTTCCACTTTCACAAAGCCTAAGGCGCCGTTCAGACTGGGTGGATTCTGATTTGATCAGGAGGGAATTTGTCCACTGAGCAGAGCGGGTGGATGACTGGTTCATGTTTGCTCAGTTCATGCAAGATGGTACACGGACAGAGCCTAGATGGAGGTGTGTGTGTGTGTGTGTTTTTTTTTTTTGCAGACTGGATCGGATTGGAGGTAGGCAGGTGTAAACAGACACAAGCCCTTTTTACATCCACCGGTCCATAGAGGTGAAATGGAGGGTCCGGTCAGAATTGCCTGAAAAATCTGACACGCAGATCTGATCAGAACCTTCATGTGAAAGGGATCTAAGCAGTGTCAGAGGTGTGCACAGAGCACAGTTTAAGTCAGGATGGGCAAACAATAGAATATTTTGCCTATTAGCAGTTCTATAATTTGCACAACGCCTGCTTGGAGATTTGAACAAATCTAACTTTAAGAACCATAGAAAAGATTTATTTTGATATATATATTCTCAAAGTACAGTGACATTAGCAACCATTTACAATCATCTTTTGGTGATCTTACTAGAGCAAACCTTGTTTGGCTGCTTTTTTTTTTTCTTCAATCTACTCTTGCTGTTAAGTAAACCCAAAATGACAGATTACTTTAGTGACCTTTTTCAGAATCAGTTTTTTTCTGGTAGTGTCTGTATGAAGGGACTGGACACCTTTTCAGGTCAGACTCCTCATAAAAGAAAGCAGAGGCAGTAGTTTCTCTTGGAGAGTCAGCTGTAAAAATTCTGTCTATTAGTAATATAATTTACATAAAGTAATATAATTACATAAAGTATACCTAGTTTCAGATTTTTTTTTTTCCATGTTAAGTGCACGCATTCTAAGGCAAGCCATAGATGAGGTGTTCTTTCTTGCAACCATGGGGTGAAGGAAAGAAAGTCTCTTGATTTCCCCAGTCAACTGCGGGAATGCCTCCACCTGTTGGTAGAATAGTCTGGTAAGATCAGTTGTTTAGAATGAGGGCAAAGTAGCTGGACCTCTGCTGGTGGTCTGACAGTCATGGATAATTTAAAGCTTTCATCACTACAAATATCTATAACACAGTATAGGAAAGCCTTTTCTACTTGTACCTTAGTGTAACTTGTTGTTGTATTGTTCCAGAAAGAGGAATCTTGTGACGCAAAACAGCACGTCCTCCTGTGCCATCATGCCTGACAAGATCATTTTCACAAGCATATCCGCTGCAGACAACACATCAGGTCTGGATGTAATGAATGGACATGAGCTTCTGACAGACCCACAGAAGCTGGAGCCCAGCTGTATACTCATCTTGATCATAGCAGGCAAAGTCGTCATGAACATCTTCGTTTTTGGGGCAAGGCATCGGAATGTGAGCGCCAGCTTCTTGGGCTATTTCTGCATTTCTCTCGCTACTGTGGACTTTGCTCTCTTATTTGTTATTTCTGTCATCCACTATTTCCAGGATTTCTCCATTTTAGGAGTTCGAATCACCAACTATCACATTTGTCTGTTTACTCAGATTATATCTCACACATATGGTATATTGCACTTTCCGGTTTTCTTGGTATCGGGGCTGGATTACTACCTGACTATTGTGAAGTCTATAAAAATGTCATGGATTTACCCTGGACTGCTGTATTGTATTTATGTGCTGCTATTATGGACTACTACAGCCTTTGTCTATGTTCTTCGCTCTCCCATTGATTCTCCAGCCGTGGACAGCTATGAACCAGCATACTTGTGCACATTCTACATCAGCAGACAAAGTTTCTACTTATCGGCTGCCCTGGTTTTCACAGTTTTCCTGGTGCTTGTTGTGTGCTGCTGTGAAATTGTCTCCTTCATAAAATCACTGAAGGTTATTTCTTATGCCAGTAACACCATAGTATTGTTTTCATTCCCCTCTGGAGACCAGTGGCCCATTCAGGGACGAAAACATTTCTTGGCTTCCCTCTTGTTCTCATTTTTGGGAACGTGGGGTCCCTTCATTGTATTGCAGGTCATCATATTTGCATTGTGTGCTCACATCCCAGCATACATGGACATGAACATTCCTTGGCTGTATTTTGTGAACAGTTTCCTAATAGCAGTGTCTTTAGCAGTAAAGTATCCCGATCTACCAGGGACAGAGAACATTTTCTCTCCAGACCCATTCATTGGCTGGAAATATTGTGCCCTGCCCTTCGTGGTTGCTGAACACAAAGACATTTCTTTACTGAATAAGCTGCCATCTGCAGTTTTGATTGTTTAAATTTTGTACATGCGGGTTTTATTTCCTGGTTTCATTTTTATACAAATGTGAAACTACTCAGGTGGTATAAAATAAACTTGAAATAGAATTTCAGAAGTTTCTCTTGCTAATAGTAGTTGTTGCTTGAAATTAATGACAAAATTGTTTCATGAAAAATACGAAGTTGTTTATGCAAAAAAAAACAGTGGTTAATACTGCCCATTACTTTAACTTTTAAATACATGGCAGAAGATGAAACCTAGTGGAATAACTTTTTATGGGCCTCAATTGTACCTTTTCCTTCTGTCTATGTAAATCTGATAAGAATGGCACTTCTTCCTAAAGCCAGCCATAAACAGGTTTTCTTTCCTTCAACCACTGGTTACAGCCGGGAGCCAATGTGTTTCTCCCAGCAGGGGGGGGAAGCTGCCCCCACTGGGAGAACATAGTGATTACAGCTAGTGGCTTTAATAACCGCTAGCAATAATTACATGTAAAATCCAACAGGCTGGTTGTACCCAAGTTCATTGATCGATCAACTTGGGTACATTCAGGTCTGCCTATAGATGGTCTGAATATCAGCCGGTCCCTGCTAAAATGGCCGAGATTCCAACTGACGATAGCTGGCGTAAGCATTGTTGATGGTTGTTTATTCTTTAACTGAAATGGCCTTGAATGCTTGTTTTAGAAGCAGAAAAATGCTAATTTTTGGAACCAAGTTAAAATATTAGGAATTTTCCTAAATGGGGGGGAAAAAATATTTAGGTAAAAAAAGCAGTATACAGCACATAACACAACAAGGAGTTTAAAACTTTGTGAACATTCTGCATATGAGTACTTTATTGCTGGTGAACTGTGCTCCAAGATGTTTGGAACACGCTATCTCCTTCAGAAACGATGTACTAATGTACCTAGAAGAAGAACTGATGCTGTCTTGAAGGGAAACCGTGCTCACACTAAATAGGCAAAAAAGCAGTTGACTTAGATCTCTGTTCTGTCTGTTGATTATGTGGCTTTTTTTATAAAACCTTTTACCTGAACCAGTCACACAACATTAACACTTACCAGTTTACCAGCCTGAGTTACCTTATTCAGATGATGCTGCTTATATTACATTACTTCTAACTGAACTACCTCATGATCCTAGGGCTGATGTCAGATGGGCAACTCTGATTCTAGTGATAAAATCACCAGCATCACAATCACTAAGACTGCCTGTCTGTTCCTATTAAATAGCTCCCTGGCCAGCTGTGGCTGCTGAATTGCTTCCCTGAATGTTACCAAATCTTGATCACCAATGATCAAGCAACATCTTGTTCTTTCAGCTAGCAAGGGAGTGATTTGATAGGGACAATCAGTCTAGTGCTGCTTATATTACGTTGCTGCTGCACCAGCTACCTCACCAACCTAATGTTGCTGTTACTACATTGCTGCAATATCAACCCAATCCTGTGAATATTATGTTGCTGTGATGTCATCAACCCAAAACTCATTAACCTAGGCCCGTATTTTATTGCTGCTAAACCAAGTACTTCATTAACCCAATCCTGTGAATATTATGTTGCTGTGATGTCATCAACCCAAAACTCATTAACCTAGGCCCATATTTTATTGCTGTTATACAAACTACTTCATCAACCCGATGCTGTTTTTTTTACTCTGTTGCTGCTATACAAACTGTCTCATCTACCTGGTGCTTTTATTACATTGCTGCTATAGCAATTACATAATTTCAGTTATGCTGATCACACAAAGTTGCTGGGTAGTATGGTAAGCTAAACTAAAAGCAAAAAAAACCCCCAAAATTTGTGAATGGATGGTGGGGGGGGGGGGGGGGTGAGTGTAAATGGGCTTTTAGGATTTGCTAATGCCTGGCACTTCATGTATTTGGTATGTTTCCTAGCATAATTCATGGCCACCGCATTGGAAATGAGGTTCAACAAGCTGAATTTTTGAGTGCTAACATACACCTAAAATATGTATGTCTACTGTAGTGGAGGTAGAGTATCGAAATGTGCACTCTGACAGTGATGCCTGCATCCTTCAAATTACAAATTCTTTGACAGGTGTATATACTTACCTATTTTATGGCTGCTCTGGTCCAGTCACATGATCTTCCCAGTGTAAGTCAATAGTGGCTATAAGGGGCTAGGAGAGTGCTCTGACAACAGCTAGTAAAGCCGCGAACAGTGGCATCACCCAGAGGCTTCAGTGGCCCATCCGTTGTTGGCGCTCCTTCTCTCCTGAGGCCGGACCAAAGTGAGCTGAAAATAGGTAAGTATATACATCTTCCCTGCCCCTTTTTTTTTTTTTTTTTTTTTTTTTTGTTCACAGGTTAGTTAACACAGATGTTATGAGGGGGTGTGTACATTTTTTAAAGCAGAACTATATCCAAAAAAAAAAAGGTTTTGTCTATAGTTCTGCTTTAAAAAATGTACACACCCCCTCATAACATCTGTGTTAACTAACCTGTTAACAAAACAAAAAAAATCTGACAGGGGTTTTAACCAGGGTGGATTTGATTTAAATCAAACTGATTTAAATCACTAGTCAGTAAGGCTTGATTTAAATCATAGTTTTGTACATAAAGACTAATTCTTGCTGGTATAACTTTAATATGCAAGTAGATGAAGATTTTTAGAATGACAACTTTTAATATTAGTTTTTTATCCCCAGTTTAATAGGTTACTCATTCATATTTGGACAACTTTTCTGTTGTACTTAGGAAGGAGAAAAATAATCATTACCTTAATAATAACAATTTAAATAGATTTATCCAACTGAAACAATAACATTCCAGCATATGTTATTTGCTTAAACAAACATCCATGTTTGTTAACTAATTTGGCTAAACAAAATATATATATTTTAAGAAACTTAGACTGTCAGCCCCTTCCTCCTCACACTTACTTTCACTTTCTTGTGCAGATCTATTCCACTCCAAACAATCAGAAAAATATTGTTTCTATTCTATTCACTGAACTTCTTGAAACTTAGCACTGAAGGGGTTGCTTCTGTATTCATAGGTTTGTAGAAGTTAGGATTAAGGTCTTTTTCTTAACTCTGTTCATGTTATAACATTTTTGCTGTGAAGAAGAGGCATGTGATCTCCGCTGAGTCAAATTCAGTTTTGAGAACTGCAAAAGTAAACCAAGCATCTGTGATATCTTGTAGGCAGAGAAACTGCCCAATAACCTTACAAAAACCTCTGGAAGAGCATGACATTGTGAATGGATTAATGGAATTTATTTACCAAAAAAATTAAACATATACAGCCTTATTCTACATAATTAAAAAACGAATCTTTATTTCATGATGGAATAACCTTTGGATGGTAATATATTTTCCTCAAAAAGCATTTTATTAAAAAAAATCCGATTTAAATAAAAAAAATCCGATTTAAATAAAAAAAATCGATTTTTTTTTTTTTTTTTTTTTTTTTTTTTTTTTTTTTTTTAAATCATTGATTTTTATCCACCCTGGTTTTAACCCTCCCTTACTCTATCCAAAAAAAAAAAAAAAAAAAAGGTTTTGTCTAGACTAGAGTAAGGGAGGGTTAAAACCCCTGTCAGATTTTTTTTTTTTTTTTTTTTTTCACCAGCTGTGCGGATATTACCCTTCACTTCCTGTCCCGTAGCCAAACTGGAAGTGAAAGGAAATCCAAGCAAAGTAAAGGAATTTTATGGGGACCCCCAGGGTGCCCAAATTAGTGTCCCCACATTAGAAGAATTGAACATTTATAGGTCTTAAGTCTAATACAAAAACTAATATGAAGTTTTACACACTCTGAGCAATAAGGTTTTTTTTATTGATAAAGTACCTTACAATCTGTATAAGTTAACATTTCAGTACATACAATGATACTGCAGTCAAGTTGATCCACTTAGCCAAAAGCTAAGAGGCAGCACTATACAAATACAGGAAATGTAGAATACAGATAAAAGCAGCAGGATACATGTAAGCTGCAGGGATTGCCATCATTTACTCTAACAAAGTTAAACCTGCTTTAACTAATCAAAGATTTCAGACTGACATTAAAAATAACATAATTTATACCTGCAACTGCATAAAGAAGTAGCATATATAAAAGAAAATGTTATTAAAGTGGATCTGCTGTAAAATAAGAATTTATATTTGTATAACAAATGCACAGTGGGACTTTTATAATTAGACTTCTTCATCATCCACACACAAACTTCCTCTCGGGCTGCATCCATATTTATTCAGTGAAATCCACTTTATCCCAGAGCATGTGATATAGAATGGTTGTTGACCACTTTGACTAAATGAAAAGCCCTGTACTCCCTGTTTGATGTTTCATTGATTTTTTACACATTTTATTAAAGTAAAAAGAGCAGAAACAGAATCTCCACCCTGTGATGTGTCTGTAGCCAGGTTACTGCCCCATCCAGTCCATATGATGGTAGTTAAAGTAAAATTTGTTAAAACTTAAAATAGTAATATGAAAGTATAAGTTCACCTTTTAGTAAAAAATAATAAATGCACATTTTTTTTTGCAGGTAAAAAAAAAAATTTGCATTTTTTTTTTTATTTGTCTGCAGGAGCCTGTAAAGTAGGGGTCTCCAACCTTTCTAAACAAAGGGCTGGTTTACTGTCCTTCAGACTTTTAGGAGGGCCGGAGTGGCCAGTGGGAGTAGAAAATGTCCCAGCGTCAGTAGGAGTAAAAACAGTGACATTGTGCTTGTAGTCAGTGGAAGGAGGAATAGTGTCCAATCATTGGTATTAATTGGAGGAACAGGGCCCCATCATTGGTATTTGTGGGAGGAATAGTGCCCCATCAGTGGTGATAGTGGGAGGAATATCGCCCCATCATTGGTATTAGGGGGAGGAATATTGCCCCATCATTGGTGTCAGTGGGAGAAATAGTGGTGTCAGGGGGAGGAATAGTGCCCCATCATTGGTGACAGGTGGAGGAATAGAATAGTGCTCCATCATTGGGGACAGTGGGAGAAATAGTGCCCCATCATTGGTGACAGGTGGAGGAATAGAATAGTGCTCCA